TCCCTACAAATCATCAAGAGTTGCATTTTGTCCAGTCTGAGGAATTCAGATTCGATGTGATCTGGAGCTGACCACCTGTGATAGCCCAGGAGTGTTCTCATGTCACTTCCAATTATCAGATATAGTTTTCTGCATTATAGCCACTGAATGAATGCAAACATTTATACTTTATACTGATATAAAAGACTTTAAAAATTCTAGACAGTTTCTATAGTCTCATCTCAGGGGAAAAAAAAAAATTAAAAATATTCCCATTAGATAATATGAAGACTATTCTTAACCAATGCGATTTCTCTTTAAAATGCAAATTCTGCCTCTTCAAAATGCTCTGGTGCCCTAGCTTAATTTTTGTGCTTAAACAGATTAATCAATCCCTCAACAACTCTATAATACACAAACTGAACCTAGAGATTTCCAAACAAATTAATTTATAGGTAAATCCAAACATGCAAACTGCAGCTAAAGAAGTGAAAATTCAGATAAAAAAAGAATTAAAAATCACTACATACATTCACCAGAGAAGAAATGCTCAGCTGCCCACCCCCCTGAAATCTAGCCCTTTTTTGTATCCCAGGTTTACTGTAATTCCATCTCCTAGTAGTTTTTTAATCAGTATATTATTGCTTGTACTTTGAAGTACCTGTCAAGTAGCATTTCATGAAAAGTGCCTTCTTTCCTGGCTTTTCTCAGGGCTTTTGTATCTTCTTTGCTTATTTTAAGCTTTTTGTCCTGAAAACTTTGGAATTTCTTTCTGTAAGGGGGAGAAAAAAAGTAACAAGTGAAACTTACTTCAAATTTTGTGTTTCAGTAAAACAACAACTGTGGTAAGAATCTTAGCTTATATTATGCAGCAGATAACTAGCTTAATAAAATCCAGCAAACCATCCCAGTACTAAGGTTGCACTAAGGCTTCTGTCAGTGAAAACTATTCTGGAATACTGTGTGCAGTTCTGGTGCCCTCAACACAAGGACACGGAACTGTTGGAGCAAGTCCAGAGGAGGCCACAAAGCTGATAACAGGGTTGGAGCATCTCCTCTATGAAGACAGGCTGAGGAAGTTGTGGATGTTCAGCCTGGAGAAGAGAAGGCTGTGTGGAGACATAGCAACTTTTCAATATCTGAAGGGGCTACAAGGGAGCTGGAGAGGGACTTTTTGTTAGGAACTGCAATAATAGGACAAGGGACTACCCAAGCACTGGCAGTGTTCAAAGCCAGCCTGGATGAGGCCTTGAGCAACTGACAGTCCTGTCTCACTGGGGAGGTCCCAGATGATTGGAAGTTGGTGAATGTCACACCAATCCACAAAAAGGATTGCAAGGAGGACCCAGGCCTCTCAGCCTGACCTCAGTGTCTGGCAAAGTCATGGAGCAGAACATCCTAAGTGCCATCACAGAGCACCTACAGGATGGACAAGGGATCAGACCCAGCCAGCATGGGTTTAGAAAGGGCAGGTCCTGTCTGACCAACCTGATCTCCTTTTATGAGAAGTGAAAAAAGGTACTTGAATCGGTTACCAGCTCCAAATTACGTACACATAATTGATTTCACACTGTTTAACGTTTCCTTTGTCTTCTTGTGGAACTTCATCTTTCTTCTTAGTTTCTCGTTCAGCGCAAGTACGAATCTAGTAATTGAGAGAGGAAAGAAAAAAACCACCAAAACAAAACAGAAAATGCCTGTTTGTAAAACTCTAAGTCACAGGTTAAAGATGACAATATATCCTTCATAACAGAATGAGAGTCACAGTGACTTTTCAAGTTCACAGCCTTCATGTTGGTGAATTCTCAACTAGTGACAATGGCAATAAAAGCAAGAGCTTCCCAAAATATGGGAAATATTAAGTGTAATCTTTGATACTACTGTAAGACATAACTGCCATCATCTCAAAGGAGCACTGTTACAGTTCTTAGTTTTGGCAGGAACAATTCAGAGACTGAGTAAAAAATACTATTGCTCTGACTAGCAGACACCTATCTCTACCAGAGCATGGAAAATATGTGTCTCTCCAAGTAAAGTCAAGACAGTATTTTTAGATTTCCTTAAAAGATCTTCCCTTCTGCATCATTCTGGTAAACCCTCCTCTGCCCCTGTTTCAGTCATAATTAATTTCTTATGTACCAAACTGTTCAGAACTACATGGAACATCACACAGACTGTCTTGTCCTGTAACATCTTGCCCATCTGTAGTGGTAAAATATCTTCCTATCTCTACTGGAAGTACTGAGAATTTATGCAACCCTGGAGCCCATTTACCCTTCTTGTGACCAAATCACTTGAGAGCTTACAGAAAGCAATTATAACTGTATTAACAACGAACAGACACCTGCTTGTTTGAATATCCCTGACAATCCTGTATTAATTGTTGAAGTTATAGATTACCTTTATCATTTCTTCTTCCCCTGCAGTTTTGCTTTTGGCTTCTATATCTCCCTCTTCATTACATCTAATGAAACGGCTGTTTGCTGCTAGCAATGCCATTTTCTTCTGCAGAAATAATGTAATACACTGTTAGCAAAAAGAGCTTGTATATAATCCTTGATTCATAACATTTATCCTCTCCATTACACCAAAAGTCTCTGTAAATGTGCTTATTCTTTTATGTATGGATGCTTCAATAGCCAGTCAGCAGACTTGCTTGCTCCTTCAGTCTTAAGATGCTTATAACTGACAAAATGCAATAACTTCAAGCATTTTAAGAGTTTCCAATTATTTTAAGTGCATTGCAGTTGGGAAAACATAAGATGAAATGTTACAATACAAAAGAGACTGCAAAAGGCTTTCAGTTCATAGACAAAAAGCATCAACATAGACTAACTCAAATTACAGTCACAGACTACGAATATCAGATGAACTATTCCAAACAGCTTACATCTTGGAAGACAGGTTCCCACTGCTCTCGTGATCCTATGGCATCAGAGCGTCCAACAACAAGTCCATCTGAATTTATACCAAGATATTTGCCATAACCAGATTTCAGAGCAATCCTCAAAGAGAAAATGCAGGAAAACTGATTCATGCAGTTCAAACTATCCAACACATCACAAACGCGTTTATAGCATCCAATGTATTTCAAGAGAGTATTAAAATGTGTACTCACCAGAAACAAACATAACAAGCATCAAAACTTGCCACAGTGTTACAGTATTTACCTTGTATCTGACAACTTCACTGCTGTAAACTGTTCAGGAGGACTAGGGCCTTCATCATCTGAGGAACACATTTTCCTTTAGTTAAGTATGATGTATGGAACAAAATATTTTAGTCTATTAATACTGCAGTTTCAAAAAGAATGAAACATTGGTCAGTGCTAAGTCCTATGGAAAGTATTTACTTATTTCTTTAAAAATTCCTTTTTTGAGTATTCACTTTTTAAAAAGTAATGCAGTTGCTCCTTTATGTTGATATATTTAGAGTTCTTAAAACAAGACACAAAAGGAAGATGATCCTTATGTAAACAAATTTACAGCTGAGAATGTTCTGTAATTCTCCATGTGGCTTTGAAAAAGTAATGTTGCAATGTTACTTTTTTCCTAACAAAATGCACTGTGGTTCAGCTATGGTAACATAACTCAGTATCCTAAAACCTACCAGCCTTTCCACCCCTCAGAGTCAAAAAGAGAGAATATAGCCATCGTTGCTTTGATCTCAGGCTGGAGGTAAAACACACATGCTGTCAGGGTTCGGAACAGTCTGTGTCTGACTAATGGCTCTCAAACTCAAAGGAAGAACAAGCTAATTATCCCACCACATTAGTAGCCCATCTGTGTAGCGACAAAACAAGTATATTAAGATGAGGATGCAGCAATAAGCCTTAAAACTCATCTACCTTGAATTTCACTCTTCAAATGACACCATAAAGATTTTACAGGATTTAATAAAAATTATACTGCTTTTTATTCAGCAAGTGGTATGGCCTCTACCAGGTAATCATCTCCAATGCAGTTCAATTTATTGTACGCATAAACTAGCAAGAAACTAGATGAGTGCAACTGATTGGTAGCCATTAGGTTTAAGTCATCTGCATCTTCGGCTCGAACTATTGCATTATTTGTAATAAACTGCTTTTAGCTGTAAAACCACTTGCCTTCAAGTGATGCTGGTTTTATGCTTTTAGGCATTTCGTTATTAAAACCGCTTATTTTCAAATTTCCTGGGACAAACCTTTATGTGGCGCTCCCAGTGTAAACAAGCCGTTGTCGAGGGCATGGATGTAAGCTCCTTTATCCATTTCTATAGCTATAGTTCCTGTAATTTCACCAAAATTAGTGACAGCCCACCAGTTTCCTGTAATACAAAACCATGACAGTTTATTAACAGAGTAATCACAGCTTCTGATTACAGTAGTTCAAGAGAATATATTTTCGTGTCTCCTCTGAGATTTGAAATTCTAAAGATAGTGACAGTAATTGCATCTTCAGATCTTTGTGCTTTATTCAACAGTCCAGAGCCAATTTAACGGTGTTGCTGCTGCATCAGGAAGTTCTGCTTTTCTGTCCACCCTGTCATCCCTAGCTATAAGCTCCTGTGCTTTATCCCTTCTTCATGTTAGTCCATAGAGCAAGTTGATTCATTCAGCTGATGCACTAAGGATACACAGAATATAGAGAGTTGAAAGGGACCCTTGAGGATCATCTAGTCCAACTCCTAAATATCTTGCAAGGAAAGGGTTTTTTTCCCCCTCTAGATCAGTCTCCTGCAGTTTTGGGGTCATATCCAATTCTCCAGCACAACACAACAGACAGATACAAAGATCTGGCTGTTAAATTACTTCATATGTGCTGTAATCCTTAGACGTCAGTTGTTTAAGCCAATCTGTGTTTGAACATTTGAGTCCCACAGAATTCCACCAAAGCTAAAGGCAGCTGTACCCATGTGCACAACTTACAATGATGATGTTTATATTTTTCTGAACAGTAAAGTCTTCTCCTGGTATACTGTCTTACAAGTATTTCCTACCTGATTAAGATAACTACTTTTAATTAATCTGAGTATGGTGTCTTTTTTCCACGTGGTAAATGTGGCACGTCAGTCTGCCATGAGTATAAGTAATCTTCCCCTACCTTTACACAACACACAGAACTAATTGTCTTGTCATACATAGTCAGGGCACACAGATCAATGTATGAGTTTTCCAAATTTCTCCCACTCTTGAAATCAGGCTAAAGAATGTAGAACACCTCTTAACGTTCTTCTTATATAAGACCCGAGAGCCCATTTTCTCGTAATGTGTTTTAACACAGGAACAAGGATGACTTCCCCCTGCAGTTTTAGCTTATGCTTATATACACATAATAAAAGAAAAATTACATTTACCCCATAATGTGCTCTGTATACTACTGCATCTCATGATTTTGTGGTTCTTTTAGCTGTTCTTGTTTGTGAAGTGAACACTGATCTATTGAGAGCATGACACTGTCAAAGGGCAACACTCTGTCAAGTAACTGCTCATGACCATATATACTTTCATCCTTCTATTTTATGAAAAGGTGGTTATGAAAAGTAATTATGTTTTGTTAGTGGTTAATGTTTGTGTCTCCAGTTTCAATTAGCAGTAGCAAATTTATAATGTGAACACAACACAGCAGTCAAACAACTATGCCAAATTAGAAACAAAAAAACTAGTTGAGACTATTTTTGAAAGGACCGAAGGTTTGAGTGAACTAAAGAACGCAGTAAGACAGTAAATTCTGGTAGAGTAGGGACAGAAATCACAGAGAACCAACTACTTATTTTCACATCGTAACAGAAGGTATAAGCTATTTTCATAGAAATGCACTCATTAAATAACAGCATTATAGTGCTAAAAATATCTCT